GATTTTTTGATTTATTGTAGAGATGAGGTCTCTCCTGCCCAGGCGGGTCTCGAACCCGCGGGCTCAGGCAATCCGCTCAACTCAACCTCCCAAAGGCGTGGGATGACAGGCTGAGCCACCGAGCCCGGCTTGAGAATGCGTTTCTAACAAGTTTCCAGGTGATGCTGATACCACTCATCTATCACCACTTTGAGAACCCCTGGATTGATTCTTTGCCAGTTTCTGAAGTCTCCTGCTCACCATATCCCTCCTCCTTTTAGAAACATTCACTGGGGCTGGGTGCAGTGGCTCACGCCTGTAATCCTAGCACTTTGGGAGACTGAGGTGGGAGGACTGCTTCAGGCCAGGAGTTTGAGATCATCCTGGGCAACATAGTGTCTCTACCAAAAAGAGAAAAAAAGGAAAAAAAGCATTCCTTGGTTGAATCCTAAAACCTCTGTTTAGGCTGGCTTCTCCATATTTTCACACGGTTGTACTGATGCTGTTTCTTTCTGAAACGGCTTTGTGTCGGGGACAGCTGGTGGAGTGTGTGAGTGTCTCACTGAAGGCTGTCTCCAGAATGTTCTGAAAAGACTGCCTTGCTTTCTTCCTAAAATCTTTCCCCAAAAGAGCATAAAGAAAAGGATTGAAGCAACTATTGGCAGACGCCAGAGCAATGGACAAGTGGTCCCAGGACACCAGCGCCTCCCCAAAGGAAGTTTCTTGGTCAGAAAACAGTAACAAGACGCCTACCACGTGATATGGCATCCAGCAAACAAGAAAGACGGCCACCACCACGATGGCTACTCGAAAGATTTTGCTCTGAGATTTGGCGAAGCGGCCCTGGCGCATTCGGAAGACAATGAGGCTGTAACAAGCCACCATGATAACACAGGGCAGCAGGAAACCCACCACCAGTCTAGTGATGGTCATTACCACCAGGGGTGTGAACATTTGATTGTCCAATGTGAATTGGCCTAAATAATCCTGGGAATCCTGTGATAACTCAGACTCATAGAAGGAATTGCTGGAAGCACTCGGGAAAAGCCCTAGGTCAGTAGAGAGAAAAGCGTCAGAGTTGTTCAGTGAGTTATTTCTGTGATCTTCTGTGGGAAGCCCACTGGGGACTGCAGGTGAGGTCACATCAGCAGGTTTAAATGAATTGTAATACGGATGTTGACTAGTCAATCTTGCCGAATCCTTAGGGAGTGAACCTCCAAAACGTCCTTGAAATGTTTGAGACTGGAGGACTGTGCTGGCTGTCCAAGGATGATCATTTGTTAGGGAAGAGGAAGGTTCTAACCTCTGATCTGTTTCTCCAGGCAGCTGAACCGTGGAATAGTCAAGAGACCCATTTTCCAGTAGATCTAGATCAAACGTGAACTCTGAATAATCAAATAAACCGGAGAAACCATAATCATAATCGTAGCGACACGTACTGTGGTCATCTACAGTGAACGTTTCCCGATACATGAACACGGGTATACACATCACAAAAGCCAGCGCCCAGATACAGCCACAGATGGCGAGGGCTGTCCGCACATTGCGATGATTCTGGCACCAGATTGGCTTGACGACCACCAGACAGCGGTCCAGGCTGATGGCAGTCAGCAGGAAGACACTGGCGAACATGTTGAGGACGATGATGGAGGGGATGAGCTTGCACAGGAACCAGCCATAGGGCCAGTGTCCCTGGAGAAACAAGTGAGTTATGGAGAAGGGCAGGGAGAGGCAGCAGAGAAGATCCGCCACGGTGAGATGGAGGAACCAAACTGTGTTCACCGTCCGCTGCATCTTCAGGCTGGTCACCCACAGCACCAGGCCATTGCCTGGCAATCCCAATATAAAAGTGAGACTGAGAATGACCACGGAGAGAATGACGGAAGGCTTATCCCAAGGCTGCCAGTGTAGGCCAGTGGAATTAGTCTCAGGAGAGAAAGACTCCATTGCCAAACTGCTGCAAGAAGATGGAAGAAAATGTTAAAACTCACAGTATCTTTCTGAAAATGCATATTCTTAGATTCGAATCTGCCCGCCTAAAGATGTGAAACCACAAAGCCAGAAGGCCCTCTTGCTGTTTTAGTTTGTATTCCTGCACTTCACATTGGACCACACGAAATCATCTTTGCTAGACTATTTAAAATCCACTGCATTGGCCCGGCGTGGTGGCTCAGCCTGTAATCCCAGCACTTTGGGCAGCCAAGGCGAGAGGATTGCCTGAGCCTGTGGATTCGAGACCAGCCTGGGCAACTTGGTGAGACCTCATCCCTACAATAAATCCCCCAAAAAACCCCTAGCCACGCATGATGGCATGCATCTGTAGTTCCAGCTACTTGGAAGGCTCAGGCAGAAGGATCAGCTGAACCCAGTAGGTCTAGGCTGTGGTGGCCGTGAGCGTGCCACTGTACTCCAGCCTGGGCGACAAAGAGTGAGACTCCAACTCAAAAAATAAAAAATAAAAAAAGTAAAATATACTGTATTGATTTAAACACGTATCAGTAAGCTGAAGAGGGAAGATCTCTTGAACCTAGGAGTTCAATACTAGCCTGGGCAACACAGCGAGACCCTGATCCTAAAAATAAAAAACTAGCCGGGCTCGGTGGCTCAGCCTGTAATCCCGCGCCTTTGGGAGGCTGAGGTGAGTGGATTGCCTGAGCCCGCGGGTTCGAGACCCGCCTGGGCAGCGAGACCTCATCTCTACAATAAATCCAAAAAAAAATCAGCCAGGCACGGTAGCGCGCGCCTGTAATTCCGGCTACTGGGAAGGCTGAGGCGGAAGGATCGCCGGAGCCCAGCAGGCGAGGCTGCGGTGGCCGGGAGCGGCCACTGCACTCCAGTCTGGGCGACAGAGTGAGACTCCAACTCAAAAAAAAAATAAAAAATAAAAAAATAAAAAATAAATAAAAAACTAAAACATATGTATCAAAATAACCTCATTTGAAAGCCCATATCAATGTAACTTTCACCTTTCTCTTGTACTTTCAATCTCTCATTTTCCACTGGTTCCTTTCCTCACTCAATGTTCCCTAATAAAAATAAATAGACCTGGTGCGGTGGGTCTCATCTGTAATCCTAGCACTTTGGGAAGCCGAGGTAGGAGGAATGCCTGAGCCCAGGAGTTCAAGACCAGCCTGAGCAACATATCAAGACCTTGTCTCTACCAAAAAATAAAAAATAAAAAATTGCTGGGCTCGGTGGCTCAGCCTGTAATCCCACACCTTTGGGAGGCTGAGGTGAGTGGATTGCCTGAGCCCGCGGGTTTGAGACCCACCTGGGCAACTTAGCGAGACCTCATCTCTCCAATAAATCAAAAAATCAGCCAGGCGTGGTAGCGCGAGCCTGTAGTTCCAGCTACTTGGAAGGCTGAGGCGGAAGGTTCGCCGGAGCCCAGCAGGTCAAGGCTGCGGTGGCCGGGAGCGGCCACTGCACTCCAGTCTGGGCGACAGAGTGAGACTCCAACTCAAAAAAATAAAAATAAAAATAAAAATAAAAAAAATAAAAAAATTAGTCAGACACAGTGGTGTGTGCATGTAGTCCCAGCTACTTGGGAGGCTGAGGTAAAAGGATCACCTGAGCTCAGGAGTTGAGCCTATGGTGAACTGTGAAGATGCCACTATACTCCAGCTTGGGTGACAGAGTGAGACTCTGACTCAAACAAACAAACAAATAAGCTAAATGAGCAGGCAAACAGAAACGTCTAAAAACTTCTAGATCGGAGGTCTCCAACCTGAAGTCATGGAAGGGCTTTAGGAAGCTCCATCACCGCCTAAAATGATATGCAACGTTTCAATTTTACATGTTTTCATTTATCCGAAGGTGGAAGTTTCATCCATTTCCTTTACCAGATTTTCCAAGGACTCACCCTCACTGAAAGAGGTACTGTACTCTGAACTCAGTTATGTCTTTTAGCTATGACTCCACCTTCTCCTTTTGCTGTCACTTTTCAAGAGCTGTTGACTCTCTTTGCCTTGATTTCTTCACTTCCACCATTTCTATCTTGTTTGTTTATACTTTATGGATATAACTTGAGAAAAAATCATTTTATTATTACAAAAGCAGAAAATATGCATGAAGAAAGTTGGGAAATATAGACAAAAAAAGTCATATATATCCACCAGTCAGTGATTACTACTATAATACCTTAATTTATATCCTCTGGATCTTTTTCTTGTATATATCTGTGTGTATACATGTATATACGTATATTTTTTGTTAAACAAAATTTAATAAAATTAGACCACACTGTGCACATTTAACAAACATTGTAATTGTAAAATATACATAAAATAAAATTTACCATCTCACCCATTTTTAAGTGTACAGTTCAGTAGTGATTACTATATTGACATTGTTGTACAATCAAATTCCAGAACTTATCTTACAAAACTGAAATATATCCTTTAAACCATTCCCCATTTCTTCCTCCCTCCAGTTCCTGACAACCACCATTTTACTTTCTGTTTCTTTTTTTTTGAGTTGGAGTCTCACTCTGTCGCCCAGACTGGAGTGCAGTGGTCACTCCCGGCCACCGCAGCCTCGACCTGGTGGGCTCTGGCGTTCCTTCCGCCTCCGCCTTCCAAGCAGCCGGAATTACAGGCATGCACTACCACGCCCGGCTGATTTTTTGATTTATTGTAGAGATGAGGTCTCGCCTGCCCAGGCGGGTCTTGAACCCGCGGGCTCAGGCACTTTCTGTTTCTATAAATTTGACTGCTCTGGGTGTCTAATCTAAGTGAGAATCATACAGTATTTGTCTTTTTGTGTCTGGTTTATTCATCAGTATAATCAGCCTTCCAAGAAGCCGGAACTACAGGCATGCGCTACCACGCCCAGCTGATTTTTTTTTTATTTATTGTAGAGATGGGGTCTCGCTGCCCAGGCGGGTCTCGAACCCGCAGGCTCAGGCAATCCACTCACCTCAGCCTCCCAAAGGTGAGGGATTACAGGCTGAGCCACCGAGCCCAGCTAATTTCCTTCCTTTTGAAGGCTGAAATAATATTCCTTTGAATGCATATGCTGTATTTTGTTTATCTTTTCACCTGTGGAAGGACACCTGAGTTGCTTCCACCTTTTGGTTATTCTGAACAATACAACCGTGAACATTTTTATAAACATTTTTCTTTATCAGTTAGTAGCCTCCACATTACACAGTCAGGCATATGGAGTTCTTATTCAATTCTTTTCTTTCTTTTTTTAATCTGTGTGGGAGTTTTAATCATTTATTATTATTATTTTTTAAATTTTAGATTCAGGGTGTACACCTGTGTTCGTTACATGGCCATATTGTGTAGAGGGAGGGATTGGGTCTCGGTGGCTCATTACCCAGATGGTGAACACTGTATCCCACAGGTAGTTTCTAGTCCCCCTCCCTCCTTCCTGGGGTCCCCAGTGTCTGTTATTTCCATTCTTGAGACTGTTTGGCTCCCACATATGAGTGAGAACAGGTGATACTTGGTTTTCTGTTTGAGTCAGTTCACCTAGGATAATTACCTCCAGCTCCATCCATGTTACTGTAAAGGACAGAATTCATTCTTTTTTATGGCTGCTTTATTCCATTATTTTCCAACTGTTCCCAAAAACACCTCACTCTGTTGCCCAGGCTGGAGTGCAGTGGCACATTCGTGGCCACCACAGCCTCAACCAGCTGGTCCTTCCGCCTCAGCCTTCCAAGTAGCTGGAACTACAGGCATGCGCCATCACATCCAGCTAAATTTTTGATTTATTGTAGAGATGAGGTCTCACCAAGTTGTCCAGGCTGGTCTCGAACCCGTGGCTCAGGCAATCCTCTCACCTTGGCCTCCAAAAGTGCTGGGGTTATAGGTGTGAGCCACCACGCCCGGCCCCCCAAAGCATCTATTTTTTTTTTTTTTGGAGTTGGAATCTCACTCTGTAGCCCAGACTAGAGTGCAGTGGCCGCTCCTGGCCACCGCAGCCTCGACCCGCTGGGCTCTGGCGATCCTTCCCCCTCAGCCTTCCAAGTAGCCGGAATTACAGGCGTGTGCTACCACGCCCGGCTGATTTTTTGATTTGTTGTAGATGAGGTCTTACCAAGTTGCCCAGGCGGGTCTCGAACCCGCAGGGTCAGGCAATTCACTTACCTCAGCCTCCCCAGGTGTGGGAGTACAGGCTGAGCCACCGAGCCCGGCTTCCCCCAGAACATCTTATACAGCTGGTTTGTCAATAGTGATATCCAATCTAGGATCACATCTTGCTCTTAACCCTTTACCCAGTTCGAAAAAAAGGGCAGCTCACTTCCGTGTTCATTTTATTTTACACAAACACACTCTTTGAGGCTGAAGCAAATCTGACTGGTTTTCAATGTGAAAACAAAATATAAAAGCTATTCTTGGAGTTATTTCTAAACAGAACTTGTCTCTAATCCTAACTAGGATTCAAAAAAAAAAAGAAAGAAAGAAAAAGAAAGAAAGAAAGAGAAAAAGAATTACTATATTTTGTAATTCTTCTATTTTTTTTTTTTTTAGTCTTGGATAATCGCTGTCACCGCAAGCCCTGCTGGCAATATCCTCGGGTTAAATGGGGGAACAGTTAAGTCTCCTAATTTAACACAGTTTCTCTTTTTCAAGGATACTGACACGTCTTGGCTTCTTGTTTTGACAGCTCACATCTCAGCCCTTTGTAGTTTATCTTCTGCCCCATCACTCTATGAAACAAGTCCAAACATTTTTTTCTCCGTCCTCATCTTTCTCCATATCATGTCATTGAACCAGGCTCAGTGGCTCAATATGCCTGAAAACCCAGCACTTTGGGAGGCCAAAGTGAGAGGTTTGCCTGAGCCCAGGATTTTGAGATTATCCTGGGCAACATGGCAAGATTTTTCAACCCCTGTAGTTCCAACGACTTGGAAGGCCGAGGCGGAAGGATTACCTGAACACAGCAGGTCGAGGCTGTGATAACCGTAAGCGTGCCACTGTACTCCAGCCTGGCCAAGTGAGACTCCAACTCACAAAGAAAAAAAAAAATTTGGTGTCATTTGATACATTGACCTCTTAACACCCTCATCTCTCCTAATTCTGAACATTAAATGTACTCTGCAGCTTTTCTGAAAAACTCATTATTCCAACTTAATGCCATTTTCTATTCCTTGACTAATGCTGTTTGCCTCTATTTGCAATTATGCTTTTAACCTTAATTTCTCTCTCTCCTTAATCTCTATCTGTTAAAAATCTACCCATTCTTCAAGATCGAGCTTAAATTTTATATCTTCCTTGAAATATTCTTTTATAATACCAAGCAGACATCAGTTCTTCAGTTTCTTAATTTGCACGTGTGTATGAATCTTTTATTTATATTCTCGATGCAATGATATATTTTGTCCTGTATTATAATTAGTAACTTGGCTGTCTTATTTATAATTCTGACCTTATATATCATAATGGTAAAAATAAGTCTTGTTCACAAATATTTATTCATAGAATTTAGCACAGTATCTTATAAGACATAAAGGTTAAAAATTACTTGAATAAGTCAGGCTCGGTGGCTCAGTCTGTAATCCCGCACCTTTGGGAGGCTGAAGTGAGTGGATTGCCTGAGCCCGCGGGTTCGAGACCCACCTGGGCAGCGAGACCTCATCTCTGCAATAAATCAAAAAATCAGCCGGGTGTGGTAGCGCACACCTGTAGTTCCGGCTACTCGGAAGGCTGAGGAGGAAGGATCGTCGGAGCCCAGCAGGTCGAGGCTGCGGTGGCCGGAAGCGGCCACTGCACTCCAGTCTGGGTGACAGAGTGAGACTCCAATTAAAAAAAAAAAAAAAAAAAAAAAAATTACTTGAATAGATGGCTGCTTATTTTGGGGGTTGACTTCTTTTTTCTTTTCAGTTAAATTTAAAATTCTAATTTTTATCCATGTAATCCTTATCCAGGTTGATTCCTTAAATCCTATTTTGTCCCTTCTGACTTCCTTTTGACTTTTAAGTTCCTAATTTTTACTGGATATAATACAATTTTACCTTTCCTTTTATAGAGGCCCAAAATATTTTTGTGACTTGAAAGTAGTTCTACTGAGTTAGCCAAATATTGTCACAGGGCCTTTTCTGATTAGCAGAAGTTAAAATAGCGAGTCAACAAAATGACAAAAAAGAACTGATTCCCACTTCCTTTTCTGTAGCCTTCTCCAATATTTAAATCCCATCAGAATCGCTATCTTCTCTGTTATGCATGGCACCTACCCTGGTCCAGTGTCTGACTCCTATACACACATTCATGCATAGATCTAGAGGATACTGAAAGAAGAACAGAGTTGTGGAATGATAGGAATGAAAGGAAGTTTAGCAATCTTTTCTCCTCCTCTCTGCTTTTATTTCTCAATTCTGACATAGAAACTCAGTAAATTAGGTAACTGCCACAATATTACAGCTAGGAAGGTTTTCAAATCCCAGGTCCATGACTGTCAGGTCAATACTCTTCACTATGAAAAAAAATCACATAACTGGAAAGTCTGTGGTATTGCTAATAAACAGAAAGTTACCAAGAACTGCACAAACTGAAAAAGCAAGGACTGAAAAGAGCAAAATTTCAATATGAAGAAATTGAGTTATCTGGCACGATGTATATTTTAAATATCACATATAAGCTGTCTTGAGATGAAAGTATTATGAAGTCAGGGCTTAAAAATATTTTAGAGCAAGGCCATTTTTTACATTTTTCCAAGATGTTTTGGCTAAAAAGTACCTGTATGATTAAGATTAGTAGACGAAAAACACTTAATATAAAATTGACCAGCAGTAATCAAAAAGATAAATAGAATCCTAAAACTAAAATTCAACTATGATAGGCAAAGAAAAGTCGACTCCAGAATTAAATACCGATGATAAGTTAGCAGAGTCAGTAGCAGTAAGGAATGGGCAAAAGAATAAAAGAGGAAAATGCAATGAGAAAAATTACATAGGCAATCAATAATTTGAAAAACAAACTACTGGAGAAAACTAGAATCAAAAGTTATAAGGAAATACATAGTCGATTTAAAAGAGGAATAAATGACATAAAAATTCACTATTGGCTCCAGAATATATATATATATATTTTGAGTTGGAGTCTCACTCTGTCTCCCAGGCTGGGGTGCAGTAGTACGCTTACAGCCACCACAACCACGACCTCAACCTCAACCTGCCGGGCTCAGGTTATCCTTCCACTTCAGTCTTCCAGGTAGCTGGAATTACAGACATGTGCCACCATGCCCGGCTAATTTTTTGATTTATTGTAGAGATGAAGGCTCACCAAGTTACCTGGGCTGGTCTTGAACCTGTGAGCTCAGGCAATCCTCTCATCCCTGCCTCACAAAGTGCTGGGATTATAGCCGTGAGCTACCACGCCTGGTACAGAATAAAAATATTAACAAGGACAAATAGAATGTGGAATATTTAGAAAAAGAAAGATGGACATAGGGAAAAGACAAAAGGATTGAAAGTTGGAGAAGTATAGGGGAAATACAAGAGAATGATCCTCAAACCATTGTTTCTCATGAACAAAGCAAGCTAGCACAAGTATTCAAATGGATTTAGGTTTTCTTACCAAAAAATCAACACAGCAACTGAAGACTTCAGCACCAATCTGGATGTCTCACGAGTCCCGTCTGGTCCCCACACTTAACCACAATGAAGTCATGAGGTATGTTTAGAAAATTTGCTGCTCTCTCTCTCCCTCTTTCCTTTTCTCTGTATCTGACAGGAAAAAAAGCTTCAGGCTCTGGACCCCACCATCTGACTTCACAGGAAGCACTCCACAGTGAGTCACTTCAAAATAGCTTAGATAAGAAAAGTAGAAAAGCAGAAGTAGCAGACTATCATTCTGAAACATTTTCTGCAGGACCCAGAGTATGGTTAGGGAGAGAGTGCTTCTGTACATAAGCCTCTCACTTTATAGGTTTTGCTTAGAAACGCCAAAAAAAAAAAAAAAAAAAAAAAAAAAAATCCTATGAGATGTAAGGGTTGGGGGGAAATCTACTGGAGATGAATGGCATGCACAAATTCATTTAATTCATTTCAAATAACATCTCTCTTTTTTTTTTTTTTGAGTTGGAGTCTCACTCCGTCGCCCAGACTGTAGTGCAGAGGCCACTCCCGGCCACCGCAGCCTCGACCTGCTGGGCTCCGGCGATCCTTCCGCCTCAGCCTTCCAAGTAGCTGGAACTACAGGCGTGCGCTACCACGGCCAGCTGAGTTTTTGATTTATCGTAGAGACGAGGTCTCGCCAAGTTGCCCAGGCGGGTCTCGAACTCTCGGGCTCAGGCAATCCACTCACCTCAGCCTCCCAAAGGCGCGGGATTACAGGCTGAGCCACTGAGCCCGGCTGTACCACATTTTAAAAATCCAGTCCAGCTTCGATGGGCAGCATGGTTGGGTCCATGTTTTTGCTACTGTGAACAGAGCCGCAACAAGCACGCGCGTACAGGTATCTTTTTGGTAGGATGACTTGAGTTCCTCTAGGTGTTTTTCCAATAGGGGGGTTGAGGGTGGCAGAGGAAAGGCAGGTGGGAGGTGGCAGACAGGTGGGAGAGGACAGGTGAGTGGGAGGGGGCGGGCAGGTGGCACAGGACAGGTACGTGGGAGAGGGCAGGGAGGTGGGAAAGGATGGGCAGGTGGACGTGGACAGGGAAGGGCAGATGGAAGGCACTTGGGAGAGGGCAGACAGGTGGGAGAGGACAGGCAGGTGAGAGAGGCAGGTAGGTGGGCGAGGACAAGCATCTGGAGAGGGCAGCAAGTTGAAGACAGCCGCAGCAGGCAGGGGACCGGGCAGGCAGATCTATAACAGGATATATATACATACACACACACATGTATATACACATAATGTATATCAGGACATATTTTTATGCTAGTGTATAGAATGCTATTGACTGTTTTTCCCCTCAAATATTTATAACCGTTGAATACTTAGGGTATTCAGAAAGCATACACAAGATAGATAGGATTACTGTGTGTATATGCTAATTTCATATATGTACATATCTCTACATAATATATGTATGAATAGGTTAGTCATACAAGAAATTAACGTCCACGGTAAAAAATTAAATATAGAAGAATTAAGGTAAAAAACTAAAATTTCCCGAATGTGTAAACTGTCCTTATTTATTCTGGTTTTTTCCACTTATCTTTTTATCTCAGGAAATATCAGTCCAAATCATACTTTTAAAATTGCTTTGTATTATTCTATTTAATCAATTATTCTTCTGTTGATGAATATCCAGTTTTTATCTAATTTTAAACTGTTATAAATGATGCTCATTGAGCACTTTGGTATCTACACGTCTGACGGTATTTCTGTAGAAGCAGTTTCTAGACTTGGGATCGTTAAATCTAAGCATTTGTATATATATATTTGAAAGATATGGAACTTTTTTACTAAAGAGACTCTGCCAATTTACACTGCAACCAACAGTGGTGAGAGTATCTTTTTCACTTTTTTTTTAGATTAAAAAACATAATTTATTTAAAAACAAATTAGAGCGAGAAAGACGGGAGAAGGTTCACCTCCCCAAGGTGGGGTAGGGGCCCAAAGCCAGGAAGCATGGCGACAGCCATAGCTCAAAGAGCACGTGACCACACCGGAGTCCAGCAAGGCAATGGCCAATGGCTGCTTGTGGTTGAGTCCTTTTAACCATTCCCCTTGATGGGGAATGATCATTAAGGTGATTGGGTGGTGGTCTTCTCCACGTCATCACGAAGGGGCAGGTAAGCGCAGGGACTGATGTCAGGTGATGGACAACAGACAGATGGGTGGGTTAGTCACACGATTACTGCCATGGTGGGGTCTGTCTGAGTCACATAGGTCACAAAGGGCTGATTAGGTTAACGTGGGGGTTTGGACCCAGGGGTTTTTCCCCAGTGGGACTGATACCAACTACAGGAGTCCAGGCAGTTTCCACTGTTGCATCAGTAAATTCCTGAGTCCATACGTGGACGTCCATCCCTGCAGCTTATCTTTCAGCTTCTTTGGGCGGAGGCGCCGCACAGAGTACTGTGCAGCTGTTGGAGTTTCAAAGTCCTTTGGGGAGTTGCTCCCTAGGGAGTAGCCCTAGGCAGAGGCCATCAGTTGTCCTCTGAGATCCGGTCAGGTCCATGGGGAAACTCAGAAATCTTGGTTAGAAGAAAGTAAAGAGTTAACCTTAGTCCGTCACCCTGTCTTTCCCTGGGACCTTCCAGCACACTGAAGTGTAGCCTCAGCCAGAGTTTTCAGTTGCCACCAGGTTCCAACACAGTCCACAGGGCCTCACCAGTTAGGAAATAAGGAAGAAGAGAGAGAAGGAGAGTTCGCAGATCTCCGTGGGACCTCCAGAAAATGTTAGGTACGAGGGTGCGGAGAGGGCACAGCACTGGTAACCAGAGATCCGAGTAACACGAAGATTTGCAACACAAAGAGACGAAGAAAAGATTTATTTAAAAAAGAGATCACTTCCCACAGACAGGAAGAGGGCCGACACTCTAAGATGAGTGTGTCCGTCCGGGGTGTGATCTGATGCCACATAAAAGACGCAAAGAATTGCACAAAAGTTAGATTAAAAAACAGTTTAAAAAAATTAAAGTGAGAAAGAGAAAGGAGAGAGAAGATTCACCTCCCCAAGGTAGGGGAGAGGGCCAAAGCCAGGAAGCGTCGCGACAACCATAGCTCAAAGAGCACGTGGCCACACCAGAGTCCAGCAAGGCAATGGCTCTTTTTTACTTTTTTAGGTAGTTCAGTATCATAAACACCTCATTTGCTCCACGATAGACACAATGTGTTGCACTGCAGGAGATGCAGAAACAATGAGAAATGCATAGAACTATAACTCACTTAGGGACAGGGAAGCACAAAAGACTAAATCTTATTGAAGCAAACCCAGGATGATGCACTGAAGTGGCACTTGAGCGGGGCCATAAGGATGGATAGAAATTTGTCAGGCACTGATGGTCCTGTAAAATAAGAATTCCCCTTTCTCTCTGCCTTACTAGACCGGTGCCTGCTGCTATGCCAGGTATAACATGCTTGGGCCACCATAAGTGAATGAATGCTTGCTTGAAAAGAATGTTGACTTCTGAATATAATTCAAAGAGTTAATTTGTGTCCTGAAAGTTGTTTCTGGTGTGGATCAGATTTTACTGATTCTCCTCTCTCTAAAGATTATATAGCAATTCAAACCAGTTTGAGAACTCCCAGAAGTATTCCTTAGGTTTTCAGGTCAGGAAGGGAATTATTGAAAACATCTTGGGAATAGTGCTCCTGTTTCTACAAGACTTCCTTCTTATACAGTGCTAGTTGTTTTGTGGTGTGATGTGAAAAATTCTGGGGAATTTGTGTGCTTCACTTCTGTTTTGTCCTTTTTTGAATATCTAAATATATATTCCTCAGCAGAGATCAGATGCTTTGGAAAAAATTTTATACATATATTACAAAGGCAGCCATATGAGTCATTGATTCATTTTACATTGTCAGTGATAGAGCTCTGTATTCAAGCTCGTTTGGTGAGTGGATTGCCTGAGCCCGCGGGTTTGAGACCCACCTGGGCAGGCAAGACCTCATCACTACAATAAAATAAAAAAATTAGCCGGGCGTGGTAGCGCGCGCCTGTAGTTCCGGCTACTTGGAAGGCTGATGCGGAAGGATCGCCAGAGCCCAGCAGGTCGAGGCTGCGGTGGCCGGGAGCGGCCACTGCACTCCAGTTTGGGTGACAGAGTGAGACTCCAACTCAAAAAAAAATAAATAAATAAAAATAAAAAGTTCGTTTGGTGGCCGGGCATGGTGACTCAAAGCCTGTAATCCCAGCACTTTGGGAAGCAGAAGTGGGGGATTTGCTTGAGTTCAAGAGTTTGAGACCAACCTGGGCAACAGAACTTGTCTCTACAAAAAACAAAAAATAAAAAAATTAGCTGGGTATGGTGTCGTGTGCCTCTAGTTCCAGCTATTTGGGAGGCTGAGATGGAAGAATTATATGAACCCAGGAGGTCAAGGCTGCAGTAATGTGTAATAATGCCACTGCACGCCAGTCTGGACAAGAGAGTAAGATCCTAACTCAAAAAAAAAAAAAAAAAAAAAAAGCCGGGCTCGGTGGCTCAGGCTGTAATCCCGCACTTTGGGAGGCTGAGGTGAGTGGATTGCCTGAGCCTGCGGGTTAGAGACCTGCCTGGGCAACTTGGCGAGACCTCATCTCCACAATAAATCACAAATCACCTGGGCGTGGTAGTGCGCGCCTGTAGTTCCAGCTACTTGGAAGGCTGAGGTGGAAGGATCGCCGGAGCCCAGCAGGTCGAGACTGCGGTGACCAGGAGCGGCCACTGCCCTCTAGTCTGGGTGACAGAGTGAGGCTCCAACTCAAAAAAAAAAAAGAGAGAGAGAGAGAAAGGCTAGATTCGAATCCCAGCTCTGCCACTTACTAATAATGTGACTGCAAAGAAGTTACTCCAACTCCGTGTTCTCCTTTCCTCACCTGCAAAACAGGGATGGTGTCATATATAATCTATTGATACTCGGCCCATTCCTCATCCTTCCTTACCATCCCTCCATTGGAAACCTGGGATTACATCTCCAGGACCTTTTCTCCAGCGGGGTTCTGAACAGACTTTGCCAGAAGGACATGTTCACGTGCCCGTGCAACGTGAAGAGAAAGAGGGATCACTGCACTTGTTTCCATCACTTAGTTTGTAGATAGAGATTGAAAATCCACTGTAAAAGTAAAACAGTGAACACTGTA